AGAAAAGTGACCTAGGACTGTTCTGACTCTTCTCCCTCCCCTGACACGGTGAAATCGAGAAGGGGGTTTTAGGGTTCCGTGCACAGAGAGTAGAGCAAATCCCACCTGCCTGACAACCTGTACCAGGCTCCCAAACCTTCCAAATGTGTCCAAAATTATCCCAAACCTGCCACCTGTTGAGTCAGGTAAACCCTTTAAGGCAATGTAAGTTCAGAAGGATTTAATTTCAGTAAAAAAAAAAAAAAAAAGGGTGGAAGGGAAATGAAGGTGATCAAGGTCAGCCCCCTCTGGATGGCATCGATGGGTCCCCCTTTCCTCAGCTCCAGGTGTGGCATTTTTTCCCAAGGAGGTGCTGAAGAGCCCATGGCTGTGCTCTCTGGAGGGCAACAGCAGGAGCTGCACTGAGGCAGGAAGATGAGCAGAGGATACAGGAGACAAACAGAGAATTAAAACTTTTTGACACATCACAAGAACAATTTGAAAAAAAAAAGTAGTTTCTTTGTGGATAAATATTAATTTTATCAACTCTGCTGAAGGAAGTCAGAAGCCTCGAGGCTGCCCTTGGCACCTCACCTGCACCTGGAAAATAAATGCAGGGTCTTAATTCCCCCAAAGAAATGCTCACTTAAGCAAATAAAATAATGGAGAAAAGGATCAGCTTCCAGCTTTTCTGGACAACTCTGATTTGAGCCTGGGCACCTCACTGAAGAACAGAGATTGGAGGTGCCCTTGGCCATCCCAGACATTGTAAAAAAGCATCTGAATCTAAATCCTGTGCACAGAAAATGGGCTAAATTCATTAAATCCAATTACTCCATTTTAGTTCCTTGCTTTCCTCAATTTTTTTTTGTTTCAAAGGCTTTGTGGCAGTTAATGTCAAAGAGCTAAGTAAATATTTTCTTGTGCTGTGTGGAAGATGATGTCAGGCAGTGATGGGAGTGAAATACTGACTTTGTACAACTGTTTGTACCTCTGATAGGATTGACTCATATTGGGAGATTATAGAAACTGCATTCTGTGATTATATACCCCCCTAGAGGCCCCGTGGAGGTGAGATTATGCAACTCTCACTGTTATTTTACCAGGGGAAAAAAAATGGACTAAGTAAATAAAAAAGCTGCAGGATGTGACTTCATCGTGCACTGTTGACACCTGCTCGTATGATTTAAAGGATGTTACTAAGAATATCAGAGCTGCTAAGGTAAATGATGAAGAAATCAGAGGTCAATCAGATAATAATAAATATTAGCATAGGTTTCCCAAGGCCAGAAGTGCCTGAGATGGTAATTGGGATTATGATTTTGCTCTTGAATTATGTGCTACTGAAAATACTTCGGTCGCTGCTGCTTTCCTGGAACTGCTCCATTAAAGCCAAACAGAGACACTCTCCAATCCTTCTTAATCCAAGACATAACTCCAGCTTTTCCTAAGGATGCTTTTTCTTTCATGTGGGCACCCACCTCACCCTGTGCATGAAGTTGTTGTGTTAGAAGTAGGTGTTGGGCTGCAGGGACGTGGTTACTACAGCTCCAGGTGCTGCTCTGAGGCTGCAGCCCCTCAACTCTGTCCTCAGTGTTGGATATCCCAGGGTGAGGTAGAAAAACAGGAAAAATTCCTCATAACTGCACTGCAGGCACAAAGGAAGCATCTCGACCCTCCTCGAGCACGAGCCACTTCCCTATGGGACACCAGAATAAAGTGCTCTCAAAATGCATTAATGCAATAGGCAACAGATTAAATTTGATGAAAGACTGGTCCAAACAATGTGGTTTCAATTGACAAAATACCTGCAGCTCACAGTGCTATTTACAGCACCACTGAATTACCCTGGACACAGAGAAGATGCAAAAAAATTGCGGCTACAGCTTTAGAATAATTCATTTAGGAGTTATCTGGCAACACCTTGTGCAGCAAAAGATCAGCCCAGCAGCCAGGCTGGTGCTGAGGGGAAATTCCAGAGGGTGAGGGGCTGGCAGTGCCTTTAAAGTCATTCTTCACCTGCTTCCCCACCTCCTCCATCCCTCCCTGCAATGAATTCATCCCAGAGGGGTCTCAAAGTCAGAAGCTGCTGCATGAAAGTATTTTCAGTAATGGGAGTTGCTGGGTGCTGACTGTGGTACCTGGGGATTCCTGGCAGCCGCTGTGCTTGGCAAGTGCTGCTAAATCAGATTTTTACAGGGGGAAAAAAAAAAAAAACAAACCCTGTCTAATCCTGTAATGCTGCCAGAATATTGTTGGGCTGTTTGCCTTTAATGCCTCTAACTCCTTGCTGATGGGCAGCTCACAAGAGTCATGTTTGAGCTGGTGTCTGATGCTGGAACGCTCCGTGCAGAGAAATCCGGATCCGCCACGAGGTGTTTCAGCACGGTTACACAAAAGTCTAAAATTAGGTCATAAATTATATAATCCTGCAAGGAAACAACGAATTTAATGACTATGCCAAACCAGAGATAAAAGCTGAGGAAGGAAATAGCATCTTGCTCATTAAATATTAAGGATCAGATCCTTCAAACATTTTTCCAGTGATGAACTCTGTGGGAGTTTGGCATCTGTATTTGTGTGTGTTCTATAGAATGTGCTTATACATCATATACGAGTGCTGGATGTGATTTATGGAGCACACACACATAGTAAGTATATTTATAATGCATAAATACACTCCATCAAGAGCAGAGAAGGTGATTAGTGAGAGCCTCCTAAGAGGTTTAATCAGATATTTTGATGGCTTGTTTCCAGTGTTCCTCCAAAAGCATTTTTCATCACAGGGCACCGGGAAGGAGCAGGTACAGACACCTCCCTTCACACTTACAGCAGCAATCACAGAGCAGCTCTGCATCCTCGGTGGCATCGAAAAACCCTGGAAAATAAGAGAGATTACCAAGATATAACAATGGATTTGAAAATTTCCTGCAACCTCTGAATCCCTCCCCTAACGCAGCTGTGCCCCAGCCTTTCTTCGAACCTTTCACGAGGCAGATCTGGTTTGATCTGTTTGAAACAACACAGGCCCAGGGTCTTGTGCATATTCCCTGAAAAGTTTGAGGTGATTCCCCTGGGACTGATGGCTGTGCTGATGTCCTGAGTATGTTAATGAGAGGGAATTGGGAATCTCTGATGAAAAAAGGCAGATAGTGCTCCAGTCCTTGCTGTCGTCAAAGCCTCTCTGATAACCATGTCCTTTTCTTCAAAGATTGGAGTCATTTGTGGATTGACTATATAATCCTTGTGCTGAAGCCTGGGAAAACTGCTGTTGATGCCCTTGGCAAGTTCTTAGCCTAAAAAAGCATGAAAAAGAGGACCAAGTAATTTCAATTCCATAAAATACATTAAATGCAGCACACAGGTATGTAAATGGGAAACTCCATAACTGTAATTTGCCCATTTAGAGCCTGATCTAAAGGCTATAAAAGTTAATTTGAAATCTTTTCATTGATTTTAATGGCCTTTAGATCAGGCCCATATTATTCACTGCATATCATGTTTGTTTCAGTGCAATAGTGTATTTATGTAAAATGTGAATTATGCGGATTATAACACAGAGCTCCTGCTTATTGTGCAAGGGCAAAGCTTCTGAAATTATTGGCTTTAACAACACACATAAAATATATATTAAAAAAAAAATCAAAATAAAGTCCCAAATAACGATTAGACTTTTTAAACGCGAGCTTAAAAAAAATGAGGAGGCCTTCTTTTCATTATATACTAATACAACCTAAATGTATTTTAAGCACCATGAAATCCAAATGGAATTTCTCACAATTCCTCATTTCCGACTGCAGCGGTGCAACAGAAAAAAAATTACATGTAAATGATTCAAAACCTCTTGAAGAAGGAGCTTTCCCCCCCCCCCCTAATTTGGGGAGGAAGAAAAAAAAAAAAAAAAAAGGTTTCAACCCAAGCTCAGCAAGGGATAACAGCATTACAGTCTGTGCACGGAGAATTTAGCCCCTCATAATTCTAAATCCTTCTCAAACGCTTTATTGCTATAAGGTGGCTCATACCAGTTTCTACACAACAGGACTCCCATAGCATTAACCATGAGAGATAGGCTTCCAGAAAGAAACTATAGCAAAGTAATTGTAAATCTCTAATGATGCATAAAAGCAAGCTGAATTGGTCCTGAATTCTCAGCATAAAAGAAATGAACCATCAGAAGAACCAATTCTGGTGGCAGTATAACACAGCCCAGTGTGGGAACTGTTTATGGGGTTTGCTGCAGTGGAAATATTCCTGCTAATATGCAAGTGATAGGAATTCATTAAAAATGCCCCAGTGCTGCAAGATCTTGTGATGCCACGTGTGACATTAAAAACAACTCGTTAGCCAAAAAGAAAACCTCCTCTGTACCAGAACAGCTCCCTGTCTGTCTGTCACAGTCACTGCCACATTTCTGTACCATAAATTCGGTGGGTTCTGCCGGGTTTTAAACCCACCTTGCAAGATTTCCAGGGTTTGTGCACTGGGGGGTGGGTTCAGCTGCACCAGGCTGGGCTTTGTTGGAACTGGGCCTACCAAGACATCCCCAGGGACAGCGTGGACAGAACAGAATGAATCCTCATCCCCCTCCCCTGCTGTGCCCAAGAGGACGCCTGGGATGGGGCTTCCAGTGATGGCCTTCAAGGGGACGTGACCATGGACAGTCAGGACAGGGCTGTCCCTGCTGCTGTGCCAACAGAAACCCAAGACCTCCTGTTTCCTTCAACAGTTTAGTCAATTCCTGCTGGATAAGCAGCCGATAAAATATTTTAAATTATACCATTTAATTAATTAACGATGCAATCCACAAATTCCACCAACGAACCAGGCTCACTCCAGAGCTCTCAGTGCACAAACCTGGATCATCACCCACTAATCCAAGAAAACTTGCTCTAGAAGCAGATCAGATGAACAGTCTGAGAGAGCAGAAACCCCTTTCCTCACGCCCAAACCAGAGGTCCCACACGTGTCCCCACCCACACAGCCTCACCCAGCAGCTCCAGCGGGGCCACAAACACGATTTTTTGGAGCTGAGAATCCGGTCGTGCTTCGTGTCTCAGAGATCTCTGGCTCTTTTTTTCCACGCTGCCAAGAGGTGTTGCAGGGCATGCTGCTTTTCCAGCACCAGGGCATCTGTCCACTGAGAACTAGATTGACAAGGCTGAAATGGTTGGGTTTGTCTGCTTGATCATTTCACAACTCTTCGAGCCAGACATCTGAGAGCTCGGCTGCATCATTGCACCGTGTCAACACTGGTGGAGGCACAGATTTGAAATCTGCATACGTGGACAAAAAGAGGGTGGATCTGAAATTAATTAACATTTCCAGGCACTACCTAGAGAAATATTTACCCATAATAAGCATGCATCAAGGAATGTCACATTTTACTGCACAGTTTTTAGTGAAGCTGCAGTTTTCGAGACTCGTATGTGGGACTCCAAGGTTTAGCAATAACTTCTCAATTTATAAAAGCATTGTAAAGAACTCTCTTACCAAAAAAAAAAAAAAGATCACTGATTTAAAGTCAAATTAAAATGAAATGAAATGCAAGTGGCACACTGGGGTTTTCTATGCTTGCAGTTGGCATCTATCTGCACCACACAGTACATGTGAGTTATAAAACATCCCATAACTATGTATAGGTGCTACAGCCTTATCTATTACCCCCATGGAAATTATGGGAAGAAAAGGTAAACAATTTCACAAGGGATTAAAAAATAATAGTAAAAAAATGCCTTGGTCTCACTCTGGTTTGGCTGTGGTTAATGAAACAAGGGGAGAATGAAGTTTTTTTGTTAAGTATCCTCCTCGTACATATATATAAAAATAAAGGAATGGGGAAACTGAGAAAAGAGGAATGATAGAAATTACCTAATTCACACTGCTAAAAACTTCCTTCACACTGGCTAGGTGCATCCATCTCTTATTTCCCTGGGATTTAGGGCTCCTACCCTGTGACCAATTCATAGCTGCTAATTTTGGAAATAAAAGTCCAACCTACTGGACCTACTGGACCCATTGTCCTAGGGATCTCACAGCAGGAAACGCTCTCCAAGGTGCTCCATCCGACAATCCTATATTCCAAGGTACCTCCATTTCTCCCAATCAAATCAGAACAACTCTAATTAAATATAAACAAGAAGCTAAAGTGAGATGAATGGTTTATGGGTGCTTCATCCTTCCCTGCATTGATTAACAGATAGAGAATTCCCCCCTCCACCGACTCAGCTGACAAACCCTGCTGTAATTATTCCTTGTACACGATGATCTGCAAGCACAGTCTCTCTGGCAGGGACACTCCAGCTCCCTCTACACATATTTTGTGCTGCTTGGCTGCACCCACCAGGTATTTACATCCCACGAATCTTGTCTTCCTATTCAAAGTTTCTCAAAGTGGTTTTCCTTTGAAATCAAAGCAGCAGTGGTCACCCTTGCATGGAATGCCATTCTTTGTGAGCCAGGTTTGCAGGGTGGGAGCGTCCCTGGACTCTGCTAATTCCTGGTGCCCAAAGAACTGCTCTATGAGTTCTATTTTTCCTTTTGTTTTCCTTGATGTTGTCACTCTGCTCTGTGAGCGAGCACCAAATACAATTTTCTTTCACATGTGGATGAAATTTTGCTAAAACTGTGCCTTTGCCACCTCGAAATCAATGTCAAAGTTGCTGCAGAAGATGCCTGAACACCTGTAAAGCAGAGCACTGCAACAGGACACTGCAGGGGCTGCACCAGATATTTTCTGGACACCCTGGACCAGATACAGCCACCCAGAGATGGAGTCCAACTTTCGGAGAATGCACTGATTGAGCTTATTTTTAAGTTTACTCTTAGAATAATGCAGTTATTAGAGTATGAACCAGCAGCTGGCAAGAGATGCATCATAGTCTCATCCATTGATTACTCCACAGTTCAAGTTTTGCAAGGGGCATGCAGCCCTTGAGATGGATATCCCTATGCTGGAAAAACCAGAAATCAATAAATCTATTCAGAAAAACATAATTTCATTTTGCTTCTTAACCACAAATTGAGATACACGCATTTCCCCGTCCCTGCTCTTCCCTGACTTAAATATATCCCGTGTTATGTAAGTAATTGTTTTGAACCCACTCTAAGACACAGTCAGAGACATGACTCCAATAACACATTATCAGTAAAACAAAGCAAAACAGTTTCATGTCCCTGCTGGGTTTGTATATACACTCTTAAATGAGCAGATTGTCTCGTTATCCACCCTGATCTGGTCATTGGATGCTCAGGCACAGCTGTCACAACAGGTGCCCCAGCGTCTCCCCCTTCATGGCACCGCCTTTGCTCTCCCCAGTTCGTTGTCAAATTCCTCTGGTGGCTTTGCTGTGCCCTGTCCTGCTCTTCCCAGGTTCATAATTACTTCTGGAATCATCCAGGGCTGGCTGACCCTGCATGTGATAAACCTTCTTCTCAGGCAGCAGTGCTCCTTCACAGGTTGATGTTCTTCATCCCGTCACACGACACCAGTTTATCCATCAGTTTTGGCCATGGGTTTCCTGCCTGGACCTTTCTCCACCTCGATGCCTCCAGTGGCCATTTCTACTGAATGAAACACCCAACAATGTGTTGCAGGAGATACTTTGGGACTACGCAGGGCTAGAGGCTGATTCCTCCACTAGATCAGATCGTCTCCCCCCATGCCAAGCGACAGCAGGAGTCTCCAGTGACTTGAGAATTTCCATGGGCTCTTGTCCAACATTATATTTAACGAGAAAATTCTTTGAAAAAATAACTTCTGTGCCCAAAGATATCACCTCCTCACTTTTGTTTCTCTTTAACATCCTTCAGTGGTGGTTTGGGTTTGCCAAAATTGAGTGCAGAACTCTCCCCTCCTGTTCCTCTCCTCTCACTGCAGATTTATACATCCCATTTTCCCACTGATCTCAGCACTCACTGGAGATATTTTACTGCCCAAAATCCTGTGAGTTCTTCAATTATCAGCTCTGTTCCACTGGGCACTAACAAAGTTTATCTGATACTGCAGCATATCAAACATCTGTAGTTCTGTAACAAAGGTTTTCTTAGCTGGAAGCAAATCCTCTCTGATGTTAAAGTACCTCCAAATAAAGAGACAATTTTATATGATTTTTCCCCCTATTGTCTTCAAGGAATATATTGTAGATTGAGGGCAAAATTTATACACTCCAACCTCTTTTATGTTTTGTAGACATCAGAATATAGGGCCTGATTTCCAGAGTGCTATAATCCATCAGTCTCACTGAATTCCAAAAAGCTGATGAGGGAGAAACTAGACAAAAAGCCAGCTGGGTAACCTGTATCAATGCCTTGAAGCACTGAAAAGATTGGACCAGTAAAAGCCAAAGATTTCTATAATTTTCCTTCGATAAAATTACAAAGGAGCAAGGAAAACATCCAGCTTTTGATTCACAGAACAAACAGTCTCAGTACACTACTAATACCAATTATTTTCTCCCTAAAACCCCAGAGTTAGGAATTAAAACATGTATTTCTATCTTAAGTTTCATCCATTTGGGATTGAAGTATATTTTCCCCCTCAACTTGAAGCACCCAGTCCTGCCTTCCCTGCCTACAACACAGTCCAACATCCCCTCAGAAACACCTCCTTGAACTTGAGAACAAAGTATTATAAAAATCTTCAATGCACTGCCACCATTTTAATGCAATCTATTGCTGAAAACCAAAATCAGAGGCAGTGCCATGTGTTCATCCAGATTTCTGTGGGTCACCTACACTTTAAGGAGTTCATCCTCTATGTTGTTACCCTTTACAGTTCTTTGGGTAGGTTAATTATCATGGGGAGCTAAACTGACTTAAATCCTTGCTGCCTTAAAACTGAATTGATAATTCATCCTTCTCTTCCTTATTCTCCCACTTTTCCCATATTACTTTTAAAATAAAGTAGTTTTTGCTGGTGCATGTGCCTTGACCCCTCCCAGGGTGGGAATTGTCCCAGGTTGATATTTGGCCACCTGCCAAACCAAAATGGGAGCAGCTCATTTGCTCTGCTGTGGTGAAAATATTCCTGAATTGGGGTACAGAGTGATCTTCAAGAAAACCTAAATCTACAACACACGCAAAGAAACTAAGAGAGGTGAAAAGTGGTTTGGGGAGAACCAATCAGAACAGAAAACCAAGGTGCACAAACCCAGCAATGCAAAGGATGCAGATAAAGCTTTGCCACAGCTGCTTGTTTTGTTTTGTTTTGTTAGTGGTGGTTGTTTCTTGGGATTTTTTATTTTCTTTATCTTGTTCTAATCTCTTTATTTTATGGCTTTACTGAACCTACTTTCTCTAAATTGAAATGAATCAAAGAAACCTCCATTTTTGCCCACCCAGCATTGCTGAAGGGAATGGGACACATTCCCTCCCACAGTTCAAAAAAAGCAGGAGTTTCAAACCCACTCTCAGTTTCAGCATTTCTAAAGATACAAAACCTCCAACTTCCATACTGTTAACCTTTTTCTACTCAAGCATCCCAAAAAGGTGGCTGTGTCAGCTACCCAACCTGAAGTTCAAGACCTTTCCGGGCGAGGAGACATTTTAGAGCATAATAAGTACATAAAATCCTTATCAAAGCTTGGGGGAAGGTTGGAATGACCAATGGTTATCAGTCAATAATTGTTAGAGCAGCTGATGGACAAGGGGGTAACCCTTCCCATGCAATTCTGCTGTGGGAATGAGAAAAGCAGCTGGAAGGAATTCATAACCAGAACCTTGCAGAGCTCAGAGAAATGTGATGTATAAACAGATTATTATTTCCTGTGGATATTGATGAGAAATGAACTGGATTTGGCGTGTCTGGAAAACATCCCCACACATTTTAAGCCATCCCAGCTCCCTGGGGCTCGAGGTAAAAACCTCTCCTGTAACTGCAGAGAACTTGGGGAAAAGAAAGCCCTAAATTATCTGGCTGGCTAGAAATACAGAGGCTGAACATTCCTCTTGCACATTTTTCATTTAATTAGTATTTCCTGCGGGTTTTCAGTGTAATGAGTCATTGATTATTGCAAGGAGTGCTTTGTAGGGTAAATTAATTCATTTAAGAGAAACAGTAAGAAGCGTTAAGTAGCCAGATAAATAAATAAAAGGCAAAGTGTGTTGGTTGCAAGTCAGGCCCAGGGGAGCCCCATTTCTGTAAATCAGCTCCTCAGTGAGCCCACCCATACTTGCCCTCCTCTTTCCTCCTCTCTACTTGTACCTACCCCTTCTATAAATTATGAAAAATCCCTGCAGATAAAGCAAATATAACCAAAACTCAGTTCCTCTGTTG